TGGTGTCCAGGAAGTTGATGCTACTGTGGGAATGCTCTAGAGAGAGTTTAATAGATGGTGGTGGTTGCTGAAGTTGCGGTGGAAATCTGAGGTAGTTTAGGTCACCTGTCCAGAGGATGAAAATATCATTGATGTATCTCAGGTATATCATTCATTTCATGGTGCATTTGTCCACATTCAGGGATGTGATTGATTAATTTTTGCCAATATAGTTATACCTGTAAAGCCCTAGTGTGGATGCCGTTAAACTAGAATAAAGCGATCTTATACAGTGTAGTTTATTTCAGCTCCCAAACCGGAATAAGCTATGGTATTATAAGCACTTTTATACCAAGGTAACGGCACCCAAATAGGGGGTTGTGCTGCTTTATTTATGGCAACGCCGTTAAAGTGGCAAAGTCCTAAGATAACAAATCACCTGGAGACTCCAGGCGTTGTGTACAATAGCAATACAGGGTGTAGTTACAGACACAATTTCCTGTACTTGGATTTTTACATTATTATTTAAGATCCCCATAGTGTTTGCCTGGTACACCAGAGCAATTCCCCATGAGATAATTTTCTTTCTGTGTGAAGGCAACTTTTTTCTTGTGTGATGCTGCCAGAGCTTTCAGGAAGGGAGAGACAAGCAGTTGAGACAATAAAATTTGCATTAACTCCAACACAACCTCACCCAAAACTGAAGTATCATCTGTTGCATTCAACGTCTTTTCATACAAGAAGGGAAGGCATTTTAACTGGAAGCTAATGTTGATCTCCGAGGGGGGCTGCACCCTGAGTTCTGGATTTCTAATGAAAAATGCCAAGTGGAATTCAGTGGAAATTGTTGCGTTTCAAATGGTTTTGATGCAAAACCATGGGGACTGCATGACTTTGGCATGACACCATACATCAAATCCTGATTAGCTCAAAGGGCTCATGGACCTCAGCAATGTTTCTGTCACACATAGGTTGAGTTTTGTGTTTGCAGCTTCCTGGTTTGTGGGGGGGTTCACTTATTACAGATTTGGTTTCGTCACAGAAGTTCAGATCTACTTGAATGTGGTATCCTCATTTTCTGGTATAGTGAAAGTAATAACACCACCACTGTGGCCTTCCCTAGCCCTTGCCACAGAGGGCCCTCACAGCCCTTTCAACAGCATCAGTTATTCGAGTATTGCAACTTGTGGTGGGTAGGTATCATCTCCATTTTACAGATGGGTAGCAAGCATAGAGGGAGGCTGAGGACAAGCTTTTCAAAAGTGGTCACACGCTTGTGTGCCTTTATCTTTGGGCGTGCAACGTGTGTTACCGACACATGCCTCAAACTGCCCCAAAACCGAGGCACCCAAAACCAACAGCCACTTTTTGGCAAAGGGTGCACTAATCGCTAGGCCAAACACACACAGTGCATCCGTGATAAAACAGGGAACAGAACCTAGCACTTCCAGGCAACGGCAGGAGTCCTCGGACCAATCCCCTGATAAACTCTGTCTCACTTCTGAATGGGACCAGACTAAGGGGCTTGTTTTTCCAGGGGACTATCATTTTGCTTGCCCAAAGTAAGGAGAAATAGGGAAGAAACCTTTCCCTGTAATCATGCTACAGAGCATTAGATCCACTTCCTCTCACCAGATGCTGTCCACTGTACGCTGAAGGTTTGAAATGCTGTCCACCATTGTCTCCCAAAAGGCTAAGGTCTAACTGCCCCTCTTAGTAGCAATGCAGACACTGGCACAAGCAGCCTGCTCCCGGCCTGCAGGTGCAGATCTCTCGTTGACATCAGTGGGAATTACTCACACGGGAGAGAATAGAATAGGCAGTAGAGGTTTGCCAGGCTGATCACACAGGAAAATTCTGCCTCTGTATAAACTCCTATGGTCAATATGTGCCCTCACTTACCCTCATCCAGCCCCATTCATTTAAACACCATTGAATTTGGCCTTTTACGATCTCGGGTCCTAGCTTAGTTTGCATTTCTAATTTGCTTTCATCCCCTGTGTGTCGCATGCAAGCTCACTCGTTGATACTTTAGTGTCTCCAAGAGAGAATCGATACCTTGAAAGAACTCTGCTGCCGAGGGTGAGAGGCCTGGGTCTCTTCACGCACCAGTTCTATAACTGCGCTTTGCCAGATTTCAGTGCTGCTGAGTTACCCTAATGACCCAGACTCCAGATGAAGCCATTCCCTTCACTGCCATCCACAAAAACCCACTTTCAAAAAAGGGGCAGAAAAATTATTTTCTTTCCCACGACACCCACTTGGCAGGCCTATTAGAGCGGTGTTTGACCAGGCCCCCCCAGCTGCGCTGAAGTTAATCACTTTTCTCATTTTTAACCAGGAAAGACACTTCTTGAATGCACCTGTTCAGTTATTTAGCATGCTCTGTGTTTCCTGTTAATTGTCACTCATGCAAAGGCTTTATATTGTAAGGGGACACCCTAATATTTTTTAATGACCTTAAGCAAAGTGATTGACATTGGACACCAGTGTCAGATGTTCTGGTGACGCAACATGTTCTCCCAGTAGCAGGAACGCTTCCTGCCGTGATTAAGTTGGTGCTATGAAAGTGCTAAAATGTGTTGTCAGCTTTCCTCTGATGCAAGCAGTTTTATTATCGTGTCAAGTAACCACGGAGTGTAGCAACGCAAATACTGACTCCAAACATCCCCTCCCACTTGTAGAGCCTGCTCTATTTAAAACACAACGTGCGCTTCACAAGTCCCCAGATAAGTTAGGGAGTTTAGAAGCATAAGCCCTGCTGGGGAGGAGGGGAAGAAAGCACTCAAGCCACAGTGCCTGGGTGGTATCAAGCCACGATCACTCCCAGGCCAGAGAGTGCCTGGGGAGGGATTCCCCTTACTGCACCTGTTCAACAGGTGTAGTCAGTGCTCCCATCTATGAAGCCATCCTGGCATGCAGGGAGATGAGGGTATGTGGGAAGGAATGGGATCATGCCAGGCCCTTGTGCAGATGCATTTGAGGGGGAAAGGCCTACCTACAAACTCTCTCCTCTTTAGCAAGTAGATTGAGGCACTTGTTCAGTTACAGCCCAATGACTTTAATGGGATTTTAGCAGAATTTAGCCCATTATGTTGATTACAGTGACCAGGGGCTGGGTGAGAAGGGTGGTCACCCTGGCCTCCAATGCCATTCTGTTGTGCTGCTTGGCTGCTGTCAGGCAGGGAGAGGGCACTGAAAACATTTTCCACCCTGGCCTTCAAAACACCTAGGGCCATCCCTGGTAGTGCCTCTGACCCTGTCGTTTCCCCTTCCCAATGTTTGCCTTTGTCTTGACCAACACTCCAGTCCTAGCTGACTTCTGGTTGTCATTTTCAAGCCCATTTCAGCCACTTGGGTCTCACAAAAAAATGAAAATTCTGCCCCTTGAACTGTAAGTGCCTGATACTGCAACCTGTCTTTCAGGCAAACAGAACTGCCATTAGCTTCAAGAGAAGATGTGGATCAGGGCTCTTGCATTGGTCCTAGATGGAAAGTCATCTGCATTTATCTTTCATGCTATCACTTGAAAATGTTTTGTTTTGCTTTCCTTCTGGATCAACCCACCCAATTAACCAATGGAGCAAGACAACCTTGGAAGATAAAGCATTTCAGAGCACAGAGCTGTGCCAGTGGGACAAATGCACCAGAAATGGTCTGTGTTCCACCCAGTTTTGAACAGAAAATGATTTTGTGTAACCTGAGCCTGTAGTTGATGGCAGATCTTGCCAGTTATCGGTGATTAAGTTGCCAGTGTTTGCCTGCCATGAATAATGACCAAAAAATTGTTTGCAAGGCTACAGCCTGTAAAAATATTCTATTAACTCAGAAGGGAACAGCGTGCCAAATAAAAACTGACTGCAGAGTCTTTACTTACTGCTGTAAAAACAGTATAGTCTTCAGTTACAATCCTGTTTTGCTTCAGTCTTTTCAGTGGTGCAAGCTGCTTTTTAAAGCAGTAGATTGCATTTTATCTCCTTTCTTGCAAAGGCCTTGTGTCTCTTGATGAACAGTTAAGGTTAGAGGGCTGACCAAAGGGACCGTGTAAAAATGGCACCTTCTTAGTCCACAAATCTGCTCGCTGTGCGTAGTCAGTCAAATCTTTGTTTTTCCTCATTTTTGAAAGCAGTTAAGCTCGTGCGTAAGTCCAACCCTATTCAGGACAGCATTTAAAGGTGTGCTTAAACGCAATACTGAATAGGGGTGCTTTCCTAAATCAGGGCCCTACCCTAACTCTACTAGATGTTTTCCATACAACTATAAAATATAGAAACCTTTTTTCCCCGCCTCTACATCCACACGCATCTGGAGAATGCAAGATAATGTAAAAGGGTATTTTGTTTTAATTCTGAGCCCCACTGCATAGTATTAGGGGCTGTGCCTTTAAGGACTGAGATTCTCAGACAGAGTCTGGGCAGGATTGAGTGACGCTCCTGTTATGGACAGCCAGTTGGAACCAGAAACCGAATAAAGCAGAGCTCTTGCAAGCACCGAGTGACCATAGAATACCACGCATCGTACAAACAGTCCCAGGTGCAAGTGCTTGCTACTGTGAGTAGATCCAATGACACCAGTGGATCTACTTGTGGTGCTGAGCACTACAGCTGGTATTGAGTATCTGCAGGATTGGGCCCTCCGTATCAAAACAGAGTGGTAATTAGGAGGCTGATCCCGCATATATTTATGTACATGAGTAACATGGGCGTAACCCCATCGATGTCATAGTACAAACGCTATCGCTGACATGCATAAGTCTTCGTAGGACTGAGCCTTATAATTTTGATGTAGCTCCATCTTTACTGAAGACGTAAATAAGGAAAACTCCTCAGATCACGCATAGGCTTTGTAAGTATCGACGAGACGGGGCAGTCTGTGTTCAAAATTATTCGCACCACTATTGCTCTACAAAGGGATGATGTGAAAAGACGATCGTGACGCTCTGGGATTGAAGCTGGAAGGACAAGCTGTCCTGATCACAATGAAAAATGCCAGACGTTCTAAAGCTCTAGCAGCACTGAATGTTTATTATTTTAAATGAAATGTACATTTTAAATCTTTTTTTATCAAAATCATCAAAAAAGTGCTAAATCCGACCACTTTAATTTACAAAAAACTCACTTTTTTTTTTAAGCTATACTCATACCTCGTTATTTATGTTGGACAAATATAATTACAGATAGCTACCTACCTCTATTCAATAGTAAAACAAGTTTAATATTACTGTTTTTTTAAAAAAAGTACCACTGATAACTCATAGGGACAAACCAAAATGACCTGCCATCCTCACATCAGCTTATTGAGCAATCACAGTTGTTTTTTTCCATGTTTGTTTGTTTTTCCCTAGAACAACGTAAGTCAAAGGCAATCTAGCCACATGGGGTTTTTTTGTCATCTGTTCAAATGCTACAATTCCTCCCTTGGTCAGACCTCACAGTGCGTATTATTTTTAAGCAGGTTTCTGGCACATCAGATCAGGTTAAGTTCTTTTCTTGTTTGTTAACCGGGCTCCCTTTCCAATAGTATCTGAGTGTTGACTAATTCTCTCGACTGCAGTTATGACAAATTTGTTTTCTGTGAAGGAAAAAAAAATCCACCTTTTTTCCCCCGTCTGTCTTGGAAGAAATATCACTTTTTGTAAGTCTGTGAAAAGACAGATGCTAACAATTCCAAAGATGCTCCTAGAGTCTCTCAATCCAACCCATTTTCATTCCAATCCAGTCAAAAACCTTCTGCGGTCTGACTGATCAATAAATAGTCAAATTGACTTACAAGGGAGCTCTCTTCTGTTCCATGTTTTCCTGGTAGTCTCTCTAACCAAACAAGCTTCTCTGATTCGCCACAAGCGCTGTCTGACTCTCCCGCCGTTTGGCTTTCTTGTGCTGTTGCCTGATTTTCCAGCACAAGGCGCTAGAAGCCAGCAAGAGGAGTCCAGATGACAAGAGGACCAGTCCAAACACGGAGATGATTGAGCCGTGGGAATTGAAACTGTACGCCACAGCGGTGACCACCACTCCAGCTATAAGAATGACCACGCCAAAGGGGATAGTGCAACGGTAACAGGACAGCTCCGCTCCTCCGGTTGCTGCAGTCAGCTGGCACTCACTGACCAAAGGGACAGTGGTTACCACGCAGTCACTGTTATTGCTCTTCTCCATCGTTACAGGTTCAGGATGCTTTGGAGCTCCCAGAATCTCTTTAATGGGCTCGTCTGTCATCTCGTGCTTCTGAACGTTCTAGGCAAATTCTTAGGCTTGACCAGGTTCCGCTGAATATGCCTTACACTGTGGAAAGAAGATGCAAGCATTCAGCTGACAAGTCTTTAACTATTACGCACATTTATGGTACACAGAAAGGTCCCAGTTGTGCTAGATGCTGCACAAACATCGCATCTTTGATCGTGCAAAGATTTATGTCTGGGCTTAACTTTCAGCATGTGAGTATTTCCTCTTGACTGCAGTGGACTGGAGTTGATTTTAAGTGGGGGCTACTCCCAGGCTTGAAGTTAAGCACATGCATAAGTCTTTGAAGGAACTGAGCCACAGAGCTAGACAAATGCTTGCCCTGAAGGGTCTTGGGCCAAATCTTGTCAGCTATATCTGTACAACCTAAAGTCAATGAGCTGGTGCAAAATAGGTGCGACTTCTTAGACCTCAGTGGGATTGTACCTGCTTATGTTATGGAATTTGGCACAGTGAGTTTGCTTGTGTGTGAGAGCAGAATTTGGCTAGTCTCTTCACATTTTTAATATATAGGCATTGCTGATCACCACAGCATCTACATTTAGGCCCCGATCCTGGAAAGACTCAAGCACCCATTTAACTCTAAGCTTCTGAATAGTTCCACTGAGTTCAATGAGGCTAGTCACCTACTTAAAGTTAGGTACATTAGTAAGTCTTGAAGGCTTGGGGCTTTAAAAGAAGGGGGAGGGTCTGATGCATTTTCACCCAAAGTACATAAAGCATCTAGGCAGTTTAAAATAAAAATATAAACTAGCAAACAGTAAGATAACAGCTTTTTTTATTTTTATAACAATTATCTGCTCTTCTTTCTATTATTTTATTTATACATATAAGTAAAACCAGGAAGCTTTTTACCATAATAAGTCTGATCTTTATTAATTGTTTATAAGTTATTAGGCTCCACATCCTTTGTATTTTTCTTGCGTCTTTCTTCTCAATACATAAATAGCACCTCGCTGACTCTAGATCAACGGATATCACCCGGCAGTAGGGAATATGTCAAATAAGCAATACTACGTATTTATTTAGTTTCATAACACAGTGTTGCAACTTCCATAACTGTACTTAACTTGCATTCCTCCTGAGAGACTGCATGTGTATTGGTTCTCGGAATCATTTTATTACAGCTTCTTTGAAAGCAAATCATGACAAGCATACAAAAGGGCCAGATTCTGCCCCCTTTACTCACACTGAGTAATAACTGAGTCGCCCCATTGAGCTAAGTAAGACTTTGCAGCATCAGGGCCTAGATGCAGACAGGAAGTCAGTAAACAGTGATACTATCTATCAATTTTTAATGGGAATTGGACATTCAAATCCCCAGGCGACACTGAAAATCTCAACCTAAATACATCTACAGTATAAACGCACAGTTTTGATCAAACCTATTTTGACGGTTCTAATATCGATTTCAATTTCCAGCCTTGGGTTGGAAGATGAGTTTGAAGCTGTCCATGTAATGAGTGACTAGTTCAGAGAATAAACTTCTCATTCAATAGGTCAAATATTTTACTTTTTGTTTTGTTTTTTTAAATGAACAAAAGTTACTTCTTTCTTTTAGGCTCTGCCACTGACGACAAGTAGAACTGCTTGTGTGAGTAACATTAAGTGTATGTGTAAACTGGTGCATGCTCAGGGCCTTACAAATATTTAAACGCATGTGGGATTTTCAAAAGAAAATAAGGGAATTAGGTGACCAAATGGGATTTGAGCACCTAACTCCTACAGGCTCAGTTGAAAATCCTGGGCTGTGGGCTCTCTGGAGCAGGAACTGCCCTTGTTTTTTATCTGCATGAGACCTAGCACAACAAGGCTCTCATCTCATCCTTGTTCAGGGTTCCTAGACACTACGGCTATGCAGTAATGTGCAAGGTGACTAGCACAGTGGAATCCAAGTGCTGGGAAATACCAACGGCTGCTTTATTTTAAACTATTCCAACTCTCCCCTTTCATCCAGACTCTCCCAACACCCCAGCCCCCAAATCTCTGCTTGTTTTGTAGATTTGACAGCTCACATTTCTCACCCACTGAGGCTGGGTCTGTCCCCTATTGGCATTGAACAAGAAGCTGTCTCTCGAGTTTGAAAACTCCAGCCTAAAGTTCTTAAACTGCCCAATTGACCACTACGGCAATCCTTAATGGGACACGGTCAGCTTGCCTGCAACTTAGCACACTTTGGCTGCGTCTATACTTGCAGCAAAGGGGTGTGATTCCCAGCTCCCGTAGACACACTCACGCTAGCTCTCATTGAGCGAGTGCGCCAAAAACAGTAGCATGGGCAGCAGTGAGCAGTGACACAGGCTGGCAGCCTCCCAGTGACAAACCTGCCTGGATCCCATGGCTACGCACGTGAGGCTGCCGCTCGCTGTTGATCATGCTACTGCGGCTACATACTATTCATAGTGCACTAGCTCGATGGGAGCTAGCACATATATATCACACCCCCACATCACAATCACACCCGCAGCTTCAAGTACAGAAGTAGCCTTAGAGGACTCCAGAGATTGCGATAAATCTGGAGTTAAAGTGTGCTCCAATTAATAATGAATTGCATCGCATATACGCAGGCATTTTCAGACTGTAAATACCCTGGGTACACATGCCCCTTCTTCGTTTAATGAACATATAGTTTCAGACCCTACACCTGTCCCTGTGCGCCCCCTGCCAATTTTGGTAGGTTAACAATCAGATTCGCCTGTTTCGATTACAGTGTGTTTTCTTTCCTGAGACCATGTGGCAAAACTTTACACGCACACCCTTCTGCCCTGCAGTGAGCACGGCTTGGGCTGATCCCCATTGACATCCATGGACCTCCACACAGTCTTTCTGACCAGTCAGGTGCATCTGACTAGACAACATCTGGGACTGTCAAAGGAGGCCATCGGAGTTCAGTGCACACATCCAATTTGCTTGGAAGGACAAGCTGAAGGAATGGCGAAACACCCACGTTTCCCTTGAATCTTGCTGTTATAATTCTCTTAGGTAAGGGGTTCTCAAACTGGGGGTCAGGACCGCTCAGGGGGTTGCAAGCTGTCAACCTCCACCCGAAACCCCGCTTTGCCTCCAGCATTTATAATGGTGTTAAATATATAAAAAAGAGTTTTTAATTTATAAGGGGGGGTCGCACTCAGAGGCTTACTATGTGAAAGGGGTCACCAGTACAAAAGTTTGAGAACCACTGTCTTAGGTGTTACTAAAAATTGCCAGCAAAAAGTCCTGGGTCTGATCCTCTGTTGCTCTACCCTGTGAGCCGTGACTTACACCAGTGTAAAGATGTGAAATGCTACTGAGTCAGACTGGTGCCAGTGTATATTCAATATGTACCCTTGTAAGTCACTACAGGAGGAGCGGGGCAATGGAGAACACGACTCAGAATGCTGTTTTTTAGCTTTGCTAGTGGGTCAAAACCTTTGTGTTATTTTAACTCCATTTCTGTCGTCTTAAACTTCCCAGACATTATAAAAGGACATTATTTACCACATCTCCCACAATAATGATTTAGCACATTTGGACTTGATCCATAGCCCACTGACATCAGCAGGGAAGTTCCCATTCACTTCAACAGGCTTTTGGATCAGGCCCATAATAAACTTTTTATTTTCCTAAACATTCATTGTACCTCTCCTTTAAATGCCTGTTGCTGACTACCTAGCGTCCCTGTCCCTCTGCCTCCTTCAGTCTGTTATGTACATTCCTAATAAGCATTGTATCACCCTGGGGCATAGTCTCAAACATCACAAAGTTAGGACAAATATATGCATACTAAAAATATTATGGGAAGAAGCTAACTTGCCTGCCCAGTAAGCAATCTCTGTGTCAAACAACAAAAATGAACAATATGAAACATAAAATCCTCCTTAAAAAGTACCAAAAATCACCTACAGCCTGACCCTGACCCCAGCCAACTCTTTGGCAAAACTCCCATTTGACTTCAAAGGGGCAGGATACGTCTCTACATTAGAGTATAAGTGCACAAATATTCATTTACAAAAATATGCTAAGCCACCTTGAGTTACTGGAACAGAAATAAATAAACTGTTCCAAATGCATGTAGTAAACGTACACACTCCTGGAAAAGCAAGGGCCAGATCCTCAGCCCGTGTAAACTGATGAAGATCAAGTGAAGTCAATCCTGATTGACATCACCTGGGCAACACACCCCGGGTTATAAAGTAGGAACGTCTAGGAAGGGCACACTAACAGTACCAACAGGATTGTGCCATTTAGTTTGCTTTTAGTGAATACACGTTTCTTTGTATTCAGTTTTTTTCCAAGCAGCTATTTTTACTTGGGCAAAGGTTTTACAGTAGTTATTCTATAGGTAAAGCTATAGAAGGAGTAGAGGAATGTTTTACTTTAGTATCCAGTAATAAATGTAAGATGAGATTTACTTAAAAGGGCTGAAAACAATATCCAGCTGTGTGCACCTACCATGTCCATCTGAAATCCATCACAGCAAATCACTTGGTAAGTGGCTGGGATGGGGGGGGGCAGGGGAGTTGGTTTTAAAAAAGCCTCCTCCCTCAATCTGAGGCAAAGTCAGGCAGCAGAAAGAGCAGCTCCGGGCTTTGAGGTGTTAGTTGTTGCTGGATTATGGATTGGACGCGATATGGCTCTAGCATGGAGGTTTCCTACAAGAAAAGAGTTTGGGTAAAATCAGCCCTTCAAAACAAGGCTCCTGCAAGGAAATAAGGGTCTGCTCTACACTGGCTTCTGAACAGGCTGGGGGACTTTCTATCTCCCTCGCTCTGCTCTTTAGTGCTGATTTCCTTGGCGGCAGCAGCCTCTTGCTTTTGACCTGGTGTTTTTCCTCTGACAGCGTGCCGCCTTCATCAACGAGCATTGGAACCCAGGACAGCCTCCTCCATTAAAGCATCCGGCCAAAGAGCTCGAGGGGAGATGGAGTGGAATCTTATTTGGCTGCATCTCTACTGCCCATTGTAACCCTTAACCCCTCATCCTCAGGAGATGTGGGTTCTAGGCTCAGCTTTTCTGCTGGGTGACCTTGGGTATGTCACTTCACTGCTCAGTGCCTCAGTTTCCCTACATGTAAACTGTGGATAATGATACTGACCTCCCTTTGTAAAGATCTACTGATAGTGCCCTGCTCTTACATAGCTTTATTACTGAAAACATCCCTTTTATCCAGTCGAACTGAAGCCTGTGTCCCAGTCTGATAAACACTGTTCCATTGTATTTAATATCAGGCTGTCATTTTCTTTTTGGAATTTTGTAAATAAGATTTCTAAGGGCTCAAAACCTGAGCCAGGGTTAGGCAGAACCTGCAGCAGTTCAGGGGGACGGTTTTGAGAGAGGCAGAGTGATAGAAACTTATCAACGGCAGTAACAGCTGTGAGATCACCAGGCAGCTGGGTTACCTCACGAAACGGCAAAGATTTATGTTCCTAGGCTTATTCACCATTGCTTTTCTATGTGTGTGAGAAGGTGGTAAATTGTTAGGATCATTTTAACTCTGCAGCGGGGCCTTTGAGGATGGCAATAAGTACATGGAATAATAAAACTGAAGTTATTTTTAAATATCCCATAAATGCAAGTGTGCATTTACACAAATAACTTCTGTTATTCTCCAGAGCCTCAAGGTAATACGCCCATGAATACAGTATCTGAAATACATTTAGCTGATCACTGACATCAGCTAATAAGATCGCCTTTCTTGAATAAGTTGTTGTGCCTGATGCCTAACAAAGTTACCAGCTGAACTTTAGATACTTTTCCCCTTATGAAACATTTAACTAGTTATAGCATAGTCCTGCTGCCGGAAAAAGAAGGGAATATTCTGAATTGCCTTCAAGTACGCAGTAGGTAGTTATTTAAAAAAAATTTTTTTTTTTGCCATCCACTGTATTCATTTTATAAGGAAATCTATTCAAAAACCTCTAACTAAGATGTTGTGCTAAACAAACCACTGTGCCTGCGACATGCTTAGAAATAGATATGCTGGTCTGTGAGTGATCTGCATTTACCCTTGAATATGTTGCAGTGCCCCGCCACAAAACTGAATCCACATAGCAAACTTATTTTCCCCCTAAACAAAGTAGAAAAGTTGAGATGTGAAAACTCTAAATCAAGGCTCATGTTCAAACTCTGAAAGGTTCCAATGTGATGCTCTCTCAGGAGGTCAGCTCCATGCCAAATACCATTGGAGAAGTGCAAATAGATGGAGTGTGCCAGCTGCCACAGCCTTTGCACCTTTTTGCTTTTTATGCAATAGTGGAGGAAGGTGATAAGACTTTTGCATAGATGTTCTGGGCCTGATTGTTGTCCTGCACCTCCTGTAGTTCTTTGCAGTCACTTTGCACTTACTCACAGGAGTAAGCCTGTAGGCTCAGGATAAAAAAAGGTAGCAGAGGTACATGTAATATACATGCAGGCTGCATCACAGTGTGGTTGGGGGTGCTGATATTGGTTGCTACACAAAATTCCTGCATGCAAGAATTACAAAAAGTTTAGTGTACTTTTTCATTTCTCAGCCATAATCTTGGGCGGGTGGGGGAAGAATCTGCACTGTATGCGAGTTAGCAATTGAAAAATTTTCAAGAGGGAGACTTGACAATATGCCATGCACCCCTAAGGTACTGTAAACTAATAACAGTCATGACTATAGTCAAATATAAGAAAGGGGGCATGACCAGGCACAAAAAGGTTTACACTTGCTGTCATACACTCCTCTATTAGAGAAAAGAAGCAACGCTCTCCAACTACAGGAGTGTTGTATGAATTCCTGATACCAACACCTTCAAGTTAAGAAGCAGAATTATATGCACTACACGTTGTCCCTTTAGGGGGGAAAAGGTCCTATTGAATGTAACAAGGATTAAACCAACAGACATTGAATAGGGTTCTTCAGAAATTACTCTAAACAACTCCAGGATTGATTAGAGAACGAGATCCTCTCTTTGGCTCACTCCCCCCCTCCCTTGTTTGACCCAAACTATGCAACGTTACAACAGGTAGACAAGTTCCCGGTTAACCGCAGAAGAATGGATCAAACCCACCTCTCCCAAGTGGAGCCTGGTCAATTACAGTCGGGCGGACTTTGTTTGTCCCGCTGCCCTCCGAACAGTTGTGCCCCAAAGCCCTGTACCTGCCTGCAGGACCCGCACCAGCACCGCGGAGATCTGCATCCCTCGTGATTCCCTTTAGACCCAGAAAATCCCTCTCAACCTCGCCGCCGCTCTGGGTCCCATTCAGCAAAGCGCACGGGCTGTGCGGCTCCCTCTGCTCCAGAACCTCGCCCGAGCCAACCGCCGGTGCTGCGGCAGCAAGCCCCTGCCCGGGGCCCAGCGGGCTCGAACTTGCCGCTGGGTGCCCGGGCTGCCCGAGCCCAGAGCCTGGGCGCGCCGCTTACCTTCGCCTCGGCCAGAGTGGAACTGGGGCCGCCAGCCCCTTGCACCGCGCACACAGCAGCCAGGGGGGCGCACATCGCAGCGCAAGGGAGTGTGAGCAAAGTGCTGAGCCAGGCTGGAAGACCACTAAGGGACCGGGGGAAAGTCGGCGGAAGGGAGCGGGGCTGGGAAGGGCTGAGCCGGTTTGGAGCAGGCGGGCCGGAGTTGCGAAAGCTGCTTGGCTGGTTTCCCCTCTGGTGTCCTTCTCTCCGCTGGGCGGGGGGGGGAGCAGGCTCGGCCATCCAGCCCCCAGCCTGCCCAAGCCTGAGCAAACCTGCCCCTGCGGAGCTCCCAGACTGGCCCTTGGGTGCTAGGGGAATAGAAATAATAACAACAAGACTCCCTCCTCATCCACCCACCCACCCCAACTCGGAACCCTCTGAAATGCACTCAGAGACCATGGTGAGGGGCACCGTGTATTAACCTAGATATGACAAGCCTGGGGAAACAGGTGCATTTTCCAGCAGCTCCTGATATCTGACAAATCCAGAGGGTGACACAATCAAATCACACACCCACATACACACACCCCTTGTCTGAAGGTTAATTGAAATGTGGTGTAAGGCCAGTCTGATCCTGCAATGTGCTGCAAGTGGCAGGACTGCCAAGCCCTATAGACTTCAATGGGGCACAGGGGGGTTTGGGGGCAGGGGTCTGCTCAAGTGGAGTTCATTGCAGGATCAGAGTCTTATGGCTTTTTAAAGGCTCTGCCGGAGCACAGTGCGCTTGGAAATCCAGAGGGGCTCCTGACTGGCTGAAAAATAACGTTGGAAGGAATGCAGCATGCATCAGATTGAGAACTATGTTCTTAATGCAATAAAGTTTGAGGGTGTTTCTCAATCTGATATAAAAACATTTAAAAGGAATGTCTAGGCTTCAATCGATCCGTTAATATAATATCAAGAATTTAGTTGTTTTTTAATATTGTGGCTTCCTTTGTTTACCTTAGATATAAGTGGGAAAATTTGCCTTAATTGTTGGGTGAAGGGTCTGTTGGATTTTTGTGGTTAAAGTTTACCCACAGCTTACATTTAAAAGGCACTATTTAATCAATGCTTGATAGACCAGCAATGCACCAGATATATTTAATCAGCCTCTGTCACTGAGAATGTATATGTACTGTTGACTCCCCTTTCTGGGGTGAAATCCTGATCCCAGTGAAGTCAATGGAAATCTCAAAGGTGCCACAGGACCCTCTGTTGCTTTTTACAGATTCAGACTAACACGGCTACCCCTCTGATACTTGACACCATGCAAGGCACTGCATTTAGCCGTATGGAATGGAAATCTATCAATCTCATGAAGAAACTTGCACAAATACAGACAGATATCATCTTCCTTTCCAAATGCAAACGGATGGACATCATACCTAATGGACTGAAGGTGAAAAATCCCTTGCTATCTACATACTGCACAGACCACAGTGAGAGATTATGCCATACATTATCAAAGAAACTGAGGAACCACCTGATCAGCATCCTATACAGCAAACAGAAAAACATCAAGAAAGAGCTCTCCAACCTGGAGACTTTCATAAATAACCAACCCTCCACACAAATGGACTTTACTAAAATAAGACAGGAGATCTACATTACACACTTCACCTCTCTACAAAGGAAAAAGGACCGTAAGCTGTCTAAAATCCTACCTGCCACATGGGGCCACAACAGGGGTACCCCTAACTCACCCAGCAATATCGTCAATTTATCCAGCTACACACTCAACCCAGCAGAAGAGTCTGTCCTATCTCGAGGACTCTCCTTTTGCCCCAGCACCCCCACGAACATGATACAGTTCTGTGGTGATCTGGAAGCCTACTTTCGCCGCCTCCGACTCAAAGAATACTTTCAAGATAACACTGAACAGCGCACTGATACACAGATACCCTCCCACCAACAACACAGGAAGAAGAACTCCACATGGACTCCTCCTGAGGGTCGAAATGACAGTCTGGACCTATACATAGAATGCTTCCGCCGACGTGCACAGGCAGAAATTGTGGAAAAACAACATCGCTTGCCTCATAACCTAAGTCGTGCAGAACGCAATGCCATCCACAGCCTCAGAAACCACCCTGACATTATCATCAAAGAGGCTGATAAAGGAGGTGCTGTTGTCATCATGAACAGGTCTGACTACCAGAAGGAGGCTGCC